CGTGGTGCGTGTCGTGGGCCTTTGTCGTCGGGGCAAAGGCCGAGCCCCGCTCCGTGGTAGCATTCATGCCTGCGGCCTCCAGCCGCACCGGTCCTTGAGCACCGCCAGTCTTGCCTCCAGCTTCTCGATCTCCTCGCGCGTCTCCTCCGAGATCTCCTGGTCCATGTAGGTCTTGCCCTCGCGGTCGGGCGAACGCTCTCGCCTCCCTGGCTTCGTCTTCGCTGCCGTGGTGAGCGGTGGCCCTGTCCTTGATCTCGGCGGGTAGGGGGCGTCCTTCATGTACCCGTTCAGGTCCTCGCTCAGCAGTGCCCACTCCGATGAGCACCCGGTCTCGCTGATCGGTGGCGCTGGGATCACCGAGTTCGCTTCCGGGTTCGCCCGGTTGTAGCTTGACATAGTCGATGAGGTAGTCGCCGTGGCCCTTCGATGGCGCCTCCACTGCACAAACCGCTTCAGATCCGGGCTCATGTTCTGGCCGTTGGCGCGCTCCTCGTCCGAGGCCCAGTTGCCATAGTTGTCGGGGATGTCCGCGAAGGTGTTCCCCTTGAATCTGCCCACTACCATCACGGTGTCGTCCGGGCAGGTCGCATCTCGGATCCTCAACATCAGACTGCCTCGCGTCTCCTTGGGCCCGGTCTCCATCCCGATGCGCCCCGCCTCGTTGCGCAGCTCGGCTAGGTTCATCGACGACAGACCCTTTGGTGACTTCTTCTGGTTGTCCTCGTACTCCCGATCCGCGGTCAACACAGTCCTCAGCTCGGGGCACGTCCACTTGGCGTTCACCGCCAGACCTCGTCGCATGCACTCTTGAAGAAGCTGGGCCTTGGTCATCTTCCATACTGCCGTCGGGGGAGCAACGTTCATGCCGGGGTGCAAGGACAGGGCGGTCGGAAGCTTGAGCTCTGTTAAAAACGCTTCGGCCGACCCACAAAGTTGGATACCCACACTGCGGCTGTCCCTGCCATACGTCAGTCACTGTGCTCAAAACCCTTCGTGACATGCAACCAATCCCCCAAGTCTCGCGCAGACTGCCGATCTGCTGCAACAGAAGTTCGCGCTGAAGCACATGTGAGGTCTGCCAGCTCTGGGGGTTGAAGAAGTTCTTTCGAGGGGTGATATGAACACGGACTAGCTTGGTATCGGTCTCTATCCAAAAGTCATTGGTGAAGTCGGTTTGGGCCCACCACTCAAGGAAAACCGAATCATTCAAGGAGTCAGCAACCAACATATCACGGATTGCAGGGTTGAGCTTTTTGTCGAAAAAGATCTTCGGGATAGAACTGCTCGGTGTAGTGGTAGCCTGAGTGGTAGGAAACCCCTGGACCCCAGCACATGCAACCATGTAAACCTCGCGAGGGCTGACGATCGCAACTCCGTGCTGCTCCCAATTCTTCGGGAGGCTGGTGACATCTGGCCGACTAAGGCTGCTATGATCTACACGGATCGCCGGGTGGCCGCTGGAAGTCTCTTGGAGCTTAATGTCGTCCCCGCCGAGGAAGCGGAAGCTCGCAGTATTGGCTCCAAGGTCCAGGACGAGGCCGAGTTTGGCCAAGGCGGGCCTCGACATCAGCAATGGGATGTCCCCGTG